TTCGACCTTGGTTCAGTCCACACCCATCCCCCCCCCCCCTCATCCTTCCCCTGTTGTGGTTCATTTTGGTTCTCCCCCTCACCCTCCTTACGGCCCCGAAGCGTCTGAGGGTTTTGGAGTCGGGGCAGGGTTTAGATGGTCGTGAGACTCGGGTAGACATAGACATATGACACATGTCTAGCATACATAGCCCCTCTACACAAGGGAGGGAGCAAAGCATTGGCAAAGAATTATAGACCAGTTGCACTAACATCACACATCATAAAAGTATTTGAGAGAGTGATTAGGAGTCAGGTCACCAATTTCATGGAGACCAATGACCTTCACAACCCAGGCCAACATGGATTTCGAGCGGGAAGATCGTGCCTCTCACAGCTACTTGAGCACTACGGCAAAGTCACAGAGGCATTAGAAGATAAACAGAATGCTGATGTGATATACACGGACTTCGCAAAGGCTTTCGATAAATGTGACCATGGCGTGATAGCACACAAAATGAAGTCAATGGGAATAACCGGTAAAGTAGGACGCTGGATACTCAGTTTTCTGTGAAACAGGACTCGGCGAGTAACGGTCAACCATATAAAATCTAGTCCAAGTGCAGTTAAAAGCTCTGTACCTCAGGGTACAGTCCTTGCACCGCTGCTTTTCCTTATTCTCATATCAGATATAGACAAAAATACAAGTCACAGCTTCATATCATCCTTTGCAGATGACACAAAAATCAGTATGAAAATTATCTTGGCTGAAGACATTGAAAAACTTCAAGCTGATATTAATAAAGTTTTCGACTGGGCATCAGAAAATAACATGATGTTTAACAGTGATAAATTCCAGGTACTCAGGTACGGTAAAAATGAGGACCTTAAACATAATACAGAGTACAAAACACAATCAAATGTACCCATAGTAGGAAAACAGCATGTAAAGGATTTGGGAATAATAATGTCTGACGACCTAATGTTTAAGGAGCATAACCAAGCGAACATTGCGACAGCCAGAAAAATGATAGGATGGATTACGAGAACTTTCAAATCCAGGGATCCCATCACAATGGTTGTACTCTTCAAGTCACTTGTGTTGTCCCGTCTTGAGTACTGCTCAGTACTCACTTCCCCCTTCAGAGCAGGAGAGATTGCTGAAATAGAGGGAATACAGAGAACATATACGGCACGCATAGACGCAATAAAGCACCTAAATTATTGAGATCGTCTCAAAGCCCTCCAAATGCACTCACTAGAAAGAAGACGAGAGAGATATCAAATAATATACACCTGGAAGATACTGGAGGGCCAAGTACCAAATCTACACAGTAAAATAACAACGTACTGGAGTGAACGATATGGAAGAAAATGCAGAATAGAACCAGTGAAGAGCAGAGGTGCCATAGGCACAATCAGAGAACACTGTATAAACATCAGAGGTCCGCGGTTGTTCAACGTCCTCCCAGCAAGCATAAGAAATATTGTCGGAACAACCGTGGACATCTTCAAGAGGAAACTAGATTTATTCCTCCAAGTAGTGCCGGACCAACCGGGCTGTGGTGGGTATGTGGGCCTGCGGGCTGCTCCAAGCAACAGCCTGGTGGACCAAACTCTCACAAGTCAAGCCTGGCCTCGGGCCGGGCTTGGGGAGTAGAAGAACTCCCAGAACCCCATCAACCAGGTTCAACCAGGCAGTCTCAGTGGATGCCCCTTCCGGTGTGGCAATGGAGGCGTTCATAAACCCTTCCATCTGGCTTACGCGGCTGCACTGGCCTTTTCTTTAGGGGCTGGTGCTTTGGGGGATGACTCGGCCCCGGGTCCTGTGGAGGAGGATCCTGAGGTGGGGGAGGGGCTGACTTGGGGGGCCTTGGGCCCCACTAGTCCCCCACCTGGGTTTTTCTGCAATCTGAGCGGGGCTTATTGTTTTGAGGAGTGGGGTTTGCCTTTCCCCCTCTGCGTACGAGTTGGATTTGGTGTCTGCCCCTCCTCAGGTTCGGTTCCGTGTCCCCCCGGGTGTGTCAGTTCCATCTTTCCGGAGGTTTTCGGCTTACCGCATCCTACCGTCTGTGGTGCGGGCAGCCCTAGCGCCTTATCTCCTGCGTGACCTTCCGTGTCTCTTTTTCCGGAGTCTCCTATGGCTGCGATCCCGCATGCGCCTGTTTCTGGGGGGCTCCCAAGTCACCCATCAGTTGCTCGAGAGTCTGTGTGGGAGCCTGAACTTCACGATGATGGTCTACCCGCCGGGTCGGGTTTGGCTTCGTCGACTGTTCTGGTTCCTTCAGGAACGTCCCTTTCGTCTTTATCCCGATCACTGGGTTCGGCCCCAGGGGGCCTTGCATCGGCTGCTGCGTTGCCGGCTTCCTCTTCGGGTTTTTCGAGGTTCAGTGCCTTGGCGCCTGCCCGACCCCTCGCTCGATGTGTTCACAGACGCGTCGTCTCTCAGCTGGGGTTTTGTGACCAGTGCTCACCAGGCTTGCCAAGGACGGTGGGGTCCGTCCTTTCGTTGGGCCCACAGCACGGTATGAGAGTTCACAGCGGTGTGGTTTGCTCTTCAGAGGGTTCTGGTCGCCTGCGGATTAACAATCCGGCTCCATTTGGATTGCTCCCCTGTGGTTCATTGCCTGAACTGGGGGGATGGGGGGGTTCGATGCAGTCCTTGGCTGTTCACGTGCAGGGAATGTCCAATGTCTTGGCCGACAGCCTGTCTCGTTTCGTTCCCCTGTCCACGGAATGGACTGTCGACGCCGACTCTTTCCGTACACTTTGCCAGAGGATCGGAAGCCCCGAGGTTGATCTCTTCGCGTCGGTGTCGTCGCGGTGCCTCCCTCTGTATGTGGCGCCCTTCCCTGATTGCAAGGCCATCAGGGTCGATGCCTTTCGGCAGGACTGGTTGAGGTGGGGGTTCCTGTACCTCTTTCCCCCAGTTCAGTTGTTGCTCCAGGTCCTGACTCGCTTGGAGACCTACCAGGGGAGAGTAGTCCTGTTGGCCCCGTGGTGGCCGGCCCAGCCGTGGTTTCAGGCGCTGCTTGCTCGGTGTCCGAACCCGGAGGTTTCCCTGCGGCTCCGCCTTTTCCAGCACATTGGACCGGAACGTCACGTGGCTGGTTCGATCTTCTCCTTGAGTCTTCGCATATGGTATTTTTTACTCGAGTTTATCATCATCTCTATGGTTATCAGGTGGCTTCTTTGTTAGTGTCCCACCTGCGGGTTTCGTCTTGGCAGCAGTACAAAGTTTCCTGGCAGTCCTTCCGTTTCTTCCTGCGTCTTCATCGTTGTACTTCGCTTTCTGTTAGGGTGGTGTTGTTCTTTCTTTCTTGGTTGTTCCAGGACCGTCACCTTATGCCTGACACTGTCGCCACGTATCTTGTGGCGCTGGTGGAGCCGCTTCAGCTTGCTTTTGGTATTGACGTTACTTCTGCACTGTTTCACAAGCTGTCTCGGGCGTTGTTTCACCTCCGGCCTGCTCATGCGCTACCTAAGCCGCCCTGGCGATTGGACAGAGTGCTCTCTTATCTTTCTTCTCCTCGGTTTGTTGTGGCTCCTTCGGTTCAGGATTGTTTCTCCAAGGCTCTCTTTCTGTTGGCATTGGCCTCTGGGGGTCGGGTTGGTGAGCTTCATGCTCTCCTCTAGCGCAGGGGTTTCTGCTTTTTCAGTTTTCATGATGGTTTTGTTCGTTTGCAGCCGTCTCCTTTTCTGGCGAAGAATGAGACTGCTGCTTTCTGGAGGGGTCCCTGGGTTGTGGATACTTGGTTGGTTAGGCAGGGGGTGCATTATGTTTTGTCTGGTTGTGGCTCTTCGCCGTTATTTGGGCGCCACGGCTTCTGTGTTCGGGGACGCACTTTGGATTGATCCAGTTTCCCTTCTTCCCTGTTCACGGGTGCAGGTCTCCCAGGTCATCCGCAGAGTTATTAAGGGTAGCCAGCCTGCGGTTTATCCCCGTGTCCATGACGTTCGTAAGTTCGCTGCTCTTGCTGCCGTCTTTGGCAACATGTTGTGGGCTGATATTCGGGCACAGGGTTTTTGGTGGTCGAAGAGGGTCCTGGCTGCTCGTTACCATGTCAACGTCCCTGGGCCTAGTCGGGCTTGTGTCGCTTTGGGTTGGGGGTTGCAGCCAGTTGTCTGGACTTCGAGTTGAGGAGTGAGCAGCCACTGCCTCCCAGGTAAGTCCCTATGTTTTTTTCCTCTGTGGGTAGTTAGCTCCAGGGAGCTGAAGGGGCTCCCCCCAGAAAACCAGCGTTGAATGTAATGAAACGCCATTTTCTGGGCGAGACCCGGAGGTTCCCAGGCATCCGTCCCTCCCTCCGGACAGCGGTTTTTCGCGCATTTTGACATCCAGCCTAAGAACTAAAGGGTGGATAGCCAGCGTGTGGGGTCTGGGACTTTCCCTTCCAACTCCCAGAGAGGGGGGAGGTGCGCAGACAGTGGCGTGGCGACGTGTGACGTCTTGATCGTTTGCTCGTTTCGTTTAGAGGAGTTCTATCCATTTGTTCGGCTTTTGGTAGCCATATTTTCACCAGAATAGGGTTTGTTTTGGGATGCTTACCTTTCTAGGTACCTGACCCGGTCGATGGCAGACATAGAATGCTTCCAACCACATGGGGGTTTCTATAGGCCATTGCTCCCCTTGCCTCTTCTGAGGGGCCCAGGTTCTGGCTCGTGGTCCCCGGTAGGCCCATTGAACTCCATACACAGGACTGATGCCAAAGCCTGACATTAGCATATCAGCCTAGTAAGCTCCAGGGAGCCTCCGTGTCTCACCGAGAAAATGGCGTTTCATTACATTCAACGCTGGTTTTTTATTTTGAAATGCATCATTATAATGTTTGAATTTATTTATTACCAAACATTATATTGATGTTGTATACTTAATTACTTACCCCCTGTATTATGATTTTAGAAAAATAAATATATTGTCTTCTTCCAGTTGAATTTAATCACTTTTGTATTTTGTGCGACAAATTCAGTATTTTATTATTGCCGTTTGTGAAATAATTGTCAGTATTCCTATACCTACAGGAAGGGAAGTGAGTGGGAAAATAACACTTAAACACGTCTATGAAATTGCCAAGATCAAAATCCAGGACCCGCCACTGGTGCTCACGCCTCTTAAACAACTCTGCGAATTGATCATTGGCACAGCGCGCACATGTGGTGTTGAGGTTAGTTATTTGCTCAGCCCACACCTGTGGTGTTGAGGTTAGTTATTTGCTCAGGCCACACCTGTGGTGTTGAGGTTAGTTATTTGCTCAGCCCACACCTGTGGTGTTGAGGTTAGTTATTTGCTCAGCTCACACCTGTGGTGTTGAGGTTAGTTATTTGCTCAGCCCACACCTGTGGTGTTGAGGTTAGTTATTTGCTCAGCCCACACCTGTGGTGTTGAGGTTAGTTATTTGCTCAGCCCACACCTGTGGTGTTGAGGTTAGTTATTTGCTCAGCCCACACCTGTGGTGTTGAGGTTAGTTATTTGCTCAGGCCACACCTGTGGTGTTGAGGTTAGTTATTTGCTCAGCTCACACCTGTGGTGTTGAGGTTAGTTATTTGCTCAGGCCACACCTGTGGTGTTGAGGTAAGTTATTTGCTCAGGCCACACCTGTGGTGTTGAGGTTAGTTATTTGCTCAGCCCACACCTGTGGTGTTGAGGTTAGTTATTTGCTCAGCCCACACCTGTGGTGTTGAGGTTAGTTATTTGCTCAGCCCACACCTGTGGTGTTGAGGTTAGTTATTTGCTCAGCCCACACCTGTGGTGTTGAGGTTAGTTATTTGCTCAGCCCACACCTGTGGTGTTGAGGTTAGTTATTTGCTCAGCCCACACCTGTGGTGTTGAGGTTAGTTATTTGCTCAGGCCACACCTGTGGTGTTGAGGTTAGTTATTTGCTCAGCTCACACCTGTGGTGTTGAGGTTAGTTATTTGCTCAGGCCACACCTGTGGTGTTGAGGTAAGTTATTTGCTCAACACAAATGTGGTGTTAGGACTTGACTTGGTGTTAGACCAACCCAAAATTGTCTACCAACTTTATACTTTTAATTTAAAATATTTACATATTGCATATAATGTCATGCTTAAAATTAACCAATAAATTCCTAGAAATTAAAGTACAAAAAAAATGGCATTGAATATAATCAAACACCAATTTCTGAGTGAGCCCTGGAAGCTATCACACTGATAGCTTCCATTTTACTAGGTGCCATCAGTCACAGTTCTTATTGGCCTACTGGGGTCCATGAGGCAGAATTTGTCCCTCCTCCCCGGCACAGGGAGTGGTGGCCTATGAACATGTTAAATATAAAGTTTATCATCTTTGCCACCATCCAAGGGAAGGCACCCAGAAAGGTAGGAAAATCATAATAGACTACTGCATGGTTAAAACCAAGACTGCACCCTCAAAAACTGCCAAAGGAACCCCCCCCCCCCTCCTTTCCCAACTATGAAAATTAAATAACCAAAAATTTTTGTGAAACTAGCATGAGTTTGCCCCCACCTCCTCTCATTGGGGGAGGAGGTGGGGGAGACCGGCTCAACCAGCCCACACCACCCCTCGGTTCTAATGATAATGGAACACACCGACTCCAAGAAGGAGGGAGGGTGTCCGGGAGCCTCTGGTGCTCACTCAGAAATTAGCATTTCACCACATTCAGTGATTTTTCTGGGGGGGGGGGGGAGGGAGACCCATTGGCTCCCTGGAGCTATCCAGGCTGATATGCTAATGTCAGGCTTTGACATCAGTCATGTGTATAGAGTTGTGTGGGTCTACCCGGGACCACATGCCAGAACCTGGACCCCCTCAGAGAGGCAAGGGGAGCAATGGCCTATAGAAACCCTCATGTGGTTGGAAGCATTCTATGTCTGCTATCAACCGGGTCAGGCATCCAGAAAGGTAAGCGTCCCAAAACAAACCCCTATTCTGGTGAAAATTGCTACAAAAAGCCGAACAAGTGGATAGAACTCCCCAAAAAGAAACGAGCAAACAAGCATGATGTCACATGTCGCCGGCCCACTGTCTACGCAGCATCCCCCTCCCCGGGAGGGGGAAGGGGGAAGCCCCTGACCCACGCTCCAGCCATCCACCCTTCAGTTCTAAGGTTGATGCTAGAGGTGAAGGTCGTGTGCTCTGGCTCCAGTGATTTTCAGCGCTGTGCTTTGAGTGTGGTGGCTGTCCTCCAGGGGTTGCGCGAGACATGAGTTATTTTACAGTACTAAGCTGCATGCACCCAGGGTTATCGTCTCTAGGTGCCCTGTATGTACTGCCCTGGGAGCTTGGGGCCACCTTCCACAAGTTCTTTGGGTCCTGCCTCTGTTAGGCCGTTTCACTGCTCGGTTTTTCAGCCGCCCTTTGGGTGCTAGAGGGTTTTGTCTCCCTTGTTTACCTTAGGGTTAGTGGCGGATTGCACTAGTAAGGGGCGCAGGGTGCTGCGCTGCTTGTTTTCACCATTCATAGCGGCCGGCTCTGTTCCTTTTGGGTACGTTGTCCTCTTGCGGGGTTTTCTTTTTCTTTTTGCCTTGTTGGGGGATCTGCCTTGCTTGTTACCCCTTTGTACTTGACCTGCATACGTTCTTTTCTGGTGGCACCCCCTGCTAGGTCCCCGTGAGTGTACATGTTCCTGAGGTTCAGCTTTAGAGAGTTGCTCGGTAGTTTTGGGCGCTGGTTAGCAGTACCCTGCCTGGGATTCCCTGAGTGTGAGTTCCGTCTCAGGACCCTGGGAAACCCCAGGGGGTGCACGGGTCCAATGGATGTGACCTCTGAGTCCCCTCCTCGCTTCGTGTGAGTTCGAGGGTTGCTCAGTCCCCTTGTCTTAGGGTGACCCTCACTGGTTTTTGCCTCCATCACGCTGCCTGTTGGGTCGGTGACTCTTTCGACCCGGAGTCCTGCGAGTTTTGTTGCTTGCTGGTGACTCGGTTTACCCAAACTAATGATGATCTTTTGCGGGTAGAGGTGATGCAGGCGTTGCATGTGCACTTTAGGTTGTTGCAACGCGCTAGGTTGGTTGGAGCAGACTTGGGGATCTTGGGTCCCGTTAGACCCTGCCTGGGTTTTTCTGCCCTCTGAGCGGGGCTTACTGTTACAAGGAGTGGGGTTCTCTTTTCCCCCCTCTGCGTACAAATTGGATTTGGTGTCTGCCCCTCCTCGGGTTCGGTTCTGTGTCACCCCGGGTGCATCGGTTCCGTCTTTCCTGAGGTTTTCAGCTTACCGCACCCTACTGTCTGCGGTGCGGGCAGCCCTAGTAATTACCTAAGTGTACCTAAGTTACCTAAGTGTAGTTACAGGATACAAGCTACGCTCATGGTGTCCCCTCTACCCAGCACTTTGTCATATAACGCTTTGAAACTTTTGACGGTTTTGGCCTCCACCACCTTCTCACTTAACTTGTTCCAACCGTCTACCACTCTGTTTGCGAAAGTGATTTCTTCGGGATCTTTGTTTAATTAGTTTAAATCTATGAACTCTTGTTCTTGAAGTTCCAGGTCTCTGGAAATCTTCCTTGTCGATTTTATCAATTCCTGTTACTATTTTGTATGTAATGATCATATCACCTCTTTTTCTTCTGTCTTCTAGTTTTGGCATATATAATGCCTCTATCCACTCCTCGTAGCTCTTGCCCTTCAGTTCTGGGAGCCACTAAGTGGCATGTCTTTGCACCTTTTCCAGTTTGTTGATGTGTTGCTTAACCCTTGTGTTGCTCAGGGCTAATTAGCATTTGTCACCCACAGGCACATACCCAAAAAAAAAAAAATATATATATATATTTTCTTCTAAACCTGTTAACTTGTGTTTTCTGATCATGGAAAAAATAATAAAAAAATCGTAAGTGGTATATATTGCCCGCTATAGGGCGGGGAAGTCTGGCAAAAAACAGGCGCTGACTCAGCGTGCGTCCCAGATGGTCTGTTGCTCCCAGCTGTCAGGCAGGAGTGGCCACAAAGAGATAATTATCTAATTATTTCAATGTCTCTGATTATTTTTCTTAGTTTTTTTGCTGTAATATTATTCAATAGTGTGTAGTGTGATATATTTATATATTAAAATGAGTGAATCATCGCTGTACTCAAAAATATTGTGTGCATATTGTTGATTCAATTATGTTCATCAAACAGTGAACAAATACTTTGTCGGTTATTACACTATATACACAGGTTATATATAAGTATCTGCATGTTTTATTCCCCATAACGAACCACTAAGTTGCTATCATGAGTCAAAAAGTAACAAGGAGTGACCGCCGTGTACCAGCCAGCCACTCACTCCCTCAACACCTCACTCGCCCACATTCTCCTCCCACCATACTGTTTTTGCTTTTATTCACTATATACAGACGTTATATATAAGTATCTACATTCGTGTTCACCATAACGAACCACTAAGTTGGCATGTTGAATGGCAGTGGCAGCCCGCCACTGGCTGCTACTTCCTCCCTCCCTCAAGTCACCTGACTCACCCACATTCTCCTCCCACAATACTGTTTTTGCTTTTATTCACTATATACCGACGTTATATATAAGTATCTACATTCGTGTTCACCATAACGAACCACTAAGTTGGTATGCTGAGTGGCAGTGACAGTAGCAGCCAGTGGCAGCCTGCCATTGGCTGCTACTTCCTCCCTCCCTCAACTCACCCACATTCTCCTCCCACAATACTGTTTTTGCTTTTATTCACTACATACAGACGTTATATATAAGTATCTACATGTTTTGTTCACCTCAACTGTACAACTAAGTTGATATAGTTAGTTCAGGCACTAAGAGACGTCGCTACACACAGTCAGGTGGCGGCTGCTTCCCTCACACATTCAAAGTGAGACGCACTAAAATTTCACCCCCAACAATACTGTTTGTGGTGTTATATATAATGTCTGTATATAGGGTAATAAGTATCTACATGTTTTGTTCACCATAACTCTTCAACTAAGCCGGTATAATGCCCAAAGAGCACAGTGGCCACCTCTACCAACATGACAAATCATGCAGATGTTGCCACACCCATCACCAAAATGGCTTCTCCCCCACACTCCTTTTGCTGTTATTACACTGTATATACAGATTACTGTATATATAAGTATCTACATTCATGTTCACCATAACGAACCACTAAGTTGGTATGCTGAGTGGCAGTGGCAGCCCGCCACTGGCTGCCACTCCCTCCCTCCCTCCCTCCCTCACCTG